ATCGTATTCAGGGATGTTCACTTGAAACATGATGAACAGGTTATTCTTCATCATAACAGTATCCATGTTTCTAAATGGTCTGCATGTGTGTCTTGATTCCTCAACATCTCTGTCCTAATGTTGTTGCTTCACAAACACTTTGTGATGCTGGATTAAGCTACTCCATGTGATCACTGGTTATTCAAAGCAAGATCGAGATGCGTAGTGATATGATATCCTGGATTGAATATGCAGTTTATGTAATTCTCTAAAAACAAATCTTTTCATATAGTTCAGAAGCTGATGTCCGTGCTCAGATACTGAAACAAAACGATCGAGCCAAGATAAAAGTGAGGGCAGCGTTCAGCAAACTAAAATGCGTTAAGGTGAGTAATATTGAACACAAATCAAACACAAATATTGTCCAAATTGCAACCCTGCTTTTATATCGAAACTTTGTTTGTTTTCTCAGAAACAATTCAGTGAGGAGTGTTTCAAGGTTTTCACAGTGAGCTCCAAAGAGTTCTTGAGAAAGAAACGTCTGGATCCAGATGAAACAGGTGATTCAAGTCTCCATAAGTGAGCCCGGATGACAAAATGGTTTTATCTCCTCCAATAAATGTGTAGAGATAATAATTGAGTATAACATGTCAATTCAAGAATGTAATGTAAGTGTGTTACCATTTTTACAGAAATTCCCAAACTGCAGGAATTCCTGAAAGATCTCAATGACTGGCACTCTGAGACATTAAACTATGTGTCTGGAGCTCGCGGGATTCTCTCTCTGATTCAGGGAGCCAGCAGCAGAGAAGGGGTAAGATCAAGTAACAACATATTTCATTGTCTTTAATATTGAAATAATAACATTCATAGAAAATAAGTAAGCTAGGTACACTAAAATGTTGTAAAAGACAGACTGCTTACATGTAATGTAACCTGTGGAGCCAACAAGGTATTGGATTTGCTGAGTTTGTGTTGCTTCAGAGAGGATGCATTGCTAAGGTAATTAAAGGGTTTTGTACGTTTTGTTGTAAGGGCTTAAAAAAAAAATCCCATATTGAATTATGGTTGTATTGCTTTAAATAATGAATTTGTTGTGTATGGTTTCAGGCTGACATAAAGACGGCTGTGTCCAAAGAACTTGAAGAAAAGCTGAATCATGAACTTGATAAAGTCAGGGAACCCATGAAAGAGACCGTTATGGCTTTTAAAAAATGCCTCAGTGAGGGGGTTGAAAAATCTAAAAGTTCATTTGAAGAAGTCTTAAAGTCGGTCCTTTATCCTAAAGTAAGTATTTAAGTTATAATTCAATCAAAAACAACTGCTCTTAAAATGAATATGTCTCTTACAAAATTAATTTTGTTTCAGACAATAAAAGGTGGTGCATTTCACAAGATATTGAAGTGTGTAGTTGAGAAGGGCGGCATCCACAAACCAAAAAAAGGGAAACTAATAAACATCAATATGAAGTTATCTTCATGTTTGACCGACAGCATTGACGAAGAATTTAAGAAGACCTTCCCGTAAGAAATGACATAATAAAGACATAAAACCCTGTGTTGGATAAATTGTGTTGTACAATACATTTAAATACATTATTGAAATACAAACTTGTTAAGGCCTTATGAATTTAAGCATTTCCTCTTGTTAATATGTTTTAGAAATGAAGGAAACAGTGGACCATTCAACGGGGTCATCAATGTGTTTTCACTTGGCACAGAGAAGCTGATGAAAAAGGAGTGCGAAAATGTCAAACTGCAGCTGACATTTCTCAAGACAGAGGTAAAGGATCCTATTCATTAGACGTTATCAGATATGTTTGTAAAGCCAGGGAGACTGTAGTGGAAGGGTGAGCAATATTATTAAATATAATACATTTTCATCAGTCAACATATTCATATACATTGTACTGGAATAACTCATGAACTGGAGATGGCTTTGAAAAGTTAACTGCAGCTGTAAAGCTGACCCTGCCCCAAGTCATGAAGACACACTAAAGATTACAATAGCATATTCTGATATTGGGCAAAAAAAGAGTGCACCCATGCTCCAGGTAAAATCTAGAAAAAATAATAAAATGAAAGATTGGCCTTGTTTGTAACTTGTTCATTTTAAAATATGTTATCTGCTTCACATTCTCTCTCTAAGGAAGAAAAAATGAAAACAAAACTCAACAAACTCATCCGTGAGCGAAAGAAAACGATCTACAGCAGCCTGACAACAACAATCGAGGAGAAAATGAAACCATGCTATGACAGTAAGACAGAAGATCATTACAGACGTAGAAATACACTTCTACACATTTTTGTGTTGCAATATTTTTATGTCAACATGTTTCTGTTTTATGTAGGAGCAAAAGAAATTAAAGGAGAAGGCACGCTGAGAAACATGAGGGAAACTATTGAAATACACGTACATGGTTCAAAGGATGTCATGTTTGCTCAGGCTAAAAACAACATGGTGAAAAAGCTGAAAGACTTGATGGTTTGTCACATTTATATTTCGTTTTACAGAAATAATTCTTCACTGAAACATGTTGGGCTGCACATATCAATGTTTATCATTTACAAAAAGGACTTTTCTTAATTCAAGGGAAATTCAACTCGGAACACTGCAACACAAACATACATGTCCAAAGATGTCAGTGTTAAGTGATAAATATTTCAATGCTGATTTAGTTGGAGATCCTGGAGAAACTGTGTAACACGATGCAGGAATCAATCGAGCTGTCACTCAAAACAGATGGTGACTCCATCCCAGGTAAAGGAAACATAACAAAATCACAAACAATACTGTACATTTGATCGTAATTAAAAATTCGATATATTAGTGTATTAAGTGAATCCACTTGTTTGAAACAATGTTATTTATTTTTTTCAGATGTTAGTGATGAGCTTAAGTTTGTAAATAAATACTACAATGACCTGAAAAGAACTGACATAGTGCCCAGATGATGCAATTATTTGGTAAAACTCAATTTAAACACAATATATATAGTATATATATTGTCTGGATTATGACTTGTTTTCTGAAAATCCTAACAGTGCTTTTATTACAGTAGTGATTAACCCGGTTCAAGCGGCTACAGTGCGTCCATCATGTGCACAGGTAGGTTTTAGTGAACCTGATGATCCAAACTGTGAATAAGATGTTAACAAGTGTTTGTTATTAATATTCAATTTCACAACATCGCTCTTTGTCTCTCTGGTTTACGTTTCAGGGTTGATCAGTGGAGAGTAACAGCAGACGCCAGTTAACCTACCGAGGATAAAAGACATGAGGCCTCTGGATTGGGTCTCAACCATTTTTTGTATCTCTGTTTACTACTACTGTTTTTTATTGTTAGCATAAGGGGCTGCCCTAATTCATGTCATTTTAAAATCCTCTTAAAAAGCAGTTTGTTGATCATCTTAGGTTTTACAGCCCATAAAGGAATATCTCCATGTCAATAGCGACCCCCACATCCATCCCACCCCTGCTTTCGTGGGCATCAGCATTTTAGCTTTCATAAATGTACTTTTTAATCCAGTTTTCAGCACACTTTTACTAAACACTTTAAATCTTGGTATTTTTTAACGAACAGGCTTTTACCTGAGCTCAGGCAACAGGACTTGAGAGGTTAACACCTTGGTTTGTACCAATGTTTGGCGATGTAAGAGGACTTACAGATCAACTATGAAACTTTAAACCTCCAGAACTGTTTGCATTAGCTTGTAGCCTCTCTGGCTTTTATCCATCAAGGAAACACTAACTTTAAAAGTAAACTGCTTTATTCAGTGCTGAAGCAGCTTTACTCTCTGGGTCAGTTTGTTTTGGAGAGGAGGAGAGACCCCTGGGAACATTTTGACTATAATGGCAAACTATGAGTTGCTATGCTGTCTTTGATTTGTTTTGAATGAGATCCCCCAGTGAAAAAGTCCTCACTATAGAGACGTTTTGCTTTGAATGATTTAACAGTTGTTATGTATTTTTAATATATGTATTTTCGGGTTTTGAATCTGTTTTTATTCTGTTTAGCATTGTTTGATAAGTTTAGGCTGAAATTTCAATGAATCAATTAAATCCTCAACATTGTTCACAGCACTACTGGAGGGTGATTTTGATGTCGACTAGGCTTCTCAAATAACTATTTTGATCTGTTTTCTCTTATTTGAAAGCACAAAACTCACTGCAAATTAATGGGGTTTGGTGTTTTTTCATTCATATTAGGAGAAATAGAGAGATCTAGATGATGGCTTATCTGGTTCCTCGTTATTTACTATTTTTTTCCACACAAACTTCTTATTGCATACATGTATTTGATGTCGTGTACACTCCAATAAACCAATACATTTCACTTGTATTGTTCATGTTCTTGTTAAAGGATCTATCTGCTCTAGGTTTTCAATAACATACATTTATATTGTCAGATAAACAAATAATTTTCCATCTGCTCTTCCTGCCAAACCGGTTCAGTACTAGGTTGCGGCTTTTTAAATGTATAATGAGTAGTAATGCAATCATGCTTTTTAATATCACCAACATGCTACTTACTTATTGGACCCAAAGCTTACCACTTTTAGTTATTTTTGTTTATTTCTGTTTTCTGAAGCAGCAAAGCCACTCTATAAACATACTCATATTTATTTGAAGCATGAAATTTGACATCCTTACTAAACTTACTCCAGTATTGAATGTTCTTTACAATAACAACAGTAACGTTAAATATAAAAGTTGAATCAGAGACAGAAAGAACAATACCAGGCATCACACACAAATAATGTTGCATTGAAACACTGTTCACAAAGTGGCTGATCTGGCACGCCTTAATGTTAGTTTCTCAGTTTGCATTATTGTTTCAGAAGTGTGTCTGTTTCAGGTGTGTGCAATGGTGGTAGTTTTAAACAATTTGTCCACACTGAAATAACAATTTTGACACACAAGTGGCTTTCAAAAACACAACAAAATGAAGGATTCCTCGTATATCCCCCAACCCTGCTTTTTTATGGCGTAAGGAACTGATGAGGCCTTCTTCATATGATCTAAAGATGTGTGCCAGGATTTTTGAAAGATTTGTGTCAGCAAATGTCTTAAAGTCATACTGCTTGAGATACATTGGAACAACTTTTCAGGTTACCTCTTGACACTGGCACTAGGTGTAGTAAACCTTGGATTCAGGATGATTACAATGGATTAAAATATGGTCTTCTGAGCAAAAAATAAATGTTATAAATCTCCCTCACCATGTTTTTTTTTTTACCTTAAACGTAGGCCAGATTATAACAAAAAATGATCTTAAACATATATTGATGTATATGTATGTGTTAAAGGACTTAAACAAAATGCCATTGTATCAAGAGCAGCAAAGCATCATGAGACCTTTATCCGCCATGTACTCCCCTGCTGCTTCAGTCAGTGTAAATATCTGGAGCCTAGAGGATTTCAATTCAGAATTTATTCTGGTCATCAAAAACACTATTTGGAATAAAATAAAAAAAATAAATGTGTCTTTAAAAAAAGAAGACAGAGTACAGCAATATCAGCAAACAACATCAACATACATAAGTCAATTTGGTATCTATAAGTAAACAAGTGGGTGTACTAATGCTTTTACATGAGGTTGAATTATGTGTGCACATAAATATTATTTTATAAATATGCTTAAGCAGTGGAGAATAATGGAGAACTTTACAGCATTTACTATACATTGGACAGGGGCATTCATTTTGTTTTACTCTGTGTCTGCTGTGCATTTCCTGTTGTGTGAAGCTACATTAATGTAACAGAGCCAGTGTGTAAACAAATACATTTAGATTAAAATGTGGGTATTGATATCAGCCAAATGTTGAAACCCGCTGAAATGTCTCACAGTACTGTTAACTCAGCATCATTTAATAAAAGAGCTACAAGCCCAAAACACTTTTTCTTATGGTAACTACTTTCATTATGACACTGATAATCAAAATTTCAGCTATAATCACAACATGTTTATGAACAAAAATTGTAAAAAAATATGCATGCTAAACGTCACAGATAGCAAAGGCATAGTTCTTAGGCACAGATAGAAATGTGGATCTCTGACCATCTTCTTGCTTGCATTAAAGTACAGATAGTTATTTACAATGTGCCCACCTTTTCAATAAATAATCCACACACAGTATCAAGCTAAGTTTCAGTTTTGTGGATAACAATCAATTGTTGGCAAAGTATTTCAACAAGCTAAACAGTCAAAAACAAAGGCATCTAATGATGTATATCAGTGAGCTTAAGTGTGGTAGTGAATACAATCTTTTGAATTTCAGAAGGTTTAGCAGCGCAACCAGTGGTTTAAGGTTTCTAGTTAAAGACTAACAATTCAAGCTCACAGTTCAGGGAAGTTGAGTGACCAGTTAACCCAGAGAGTGCTGCTTCTTCAGGCTGTCTGAGCGCCTCACTCTCTCTCCTGGGGTCTTTCTGTACCAGCTCCTGAGAAGAAACAGCCACCGTCATCTTATGCTGACTTCAAAGTCAGTAGGTCAATGCTGTAATCAACACATTTATGAACACTCTTTCCTTTAGCGAGAGGTGATTCAAATAATAATAGAATAATAGTTAATAAAAAGAAAGACACTTTGCAATTATGGCAAAATACGTTAAAACTCACCCCTGGCGATTCAGTTGGCCTGCAACAGGAGAATTTTGGCCTTGGCTTGGCTTCAGGACTCTGGCAGAAAATTATGTTATTAGAGAACTAAACACAGAAAATAAAAGTAAAACACAGAACCAGAGAATATTTACAAGCACCTGTTAGTAGTGGGGCTCTTTGGCCTCTGCTGCATCTTCCTAGCCTGGGCTGGGGATTCACTAACCCTGCAGGAGAAGCACATACTTGCAATAGAAACACTGGATCTTATTATGGGATCACCGCAATGTAAGACTGTGTGCCTTGATTCCATCTTACCTCTTTTTCCTGTCCAGAGACCTCTGTGTGGCAGCAGACAGAACCGCTCTATCCTTGGGACACTTGGCTTTCTCCTGCAGGTTGGACACAGACAGTAAAGAACAAAAAGTAAGAAACAGAAGTACTGACAATAGCATGTTATAAGGTAGCATGTTATAAGGTAGCTACAGAATAATGTAACTTTGTTAATTTGGTAATCAATGGTACATAATGCTGTATGGTGTTGCTTTCTAAATACTTAACATTATTATCTTAAAAGTATCACCAGTTATCAGCAGATAGACCAATTATAATCAATAACTAATGAAACATTATGAACCATGTATACAGGACAATAGAAGCCATGACTGATTTATACTTAAACATATGCAGACAAAATGCTTCAGAGTATTTCAAGTACAATACAAACTCAAGCTTCAAGTTCCTTCTGAGAGTGGAAAGATGTACTTTACTTTTAGGTCTTCGTTTGAACGAGAATTCACAAATGTCACCTTTTTGATTATATAAGGCGATATAATGTGATTTATTACAGGACGATGTTTCCAGGTTACCATGTCTCGCAGCTTCCTCTCTGCTCGGAGCTCTCTGTCCTGCTGCAGCAACGCTAACCGATCCCCGAGAGGGATTTCGAAGAAGATGTCATGGATGTCATAAAGGGCTGCACGTAGCTGAAGGACAAAAGATGCATGAATAAACACAAAGAATGATCGCCATCTGCTGTTTATAGACTGTTAGTAGACCTTCATACCTGGGCTCTAACTCTCTCCTGCAGCGAGCGATCTTGTGCTGAGCAGGGGCCTTTCTTCTGATGAGCTTCAGTCTGGAATGAACGGATGAACTCTTGTGTATCCTAAGCAAACATATAAACAGGAAACATGTATAAACATATGAGGATTCTTTTTTTTTTTTTTTTTTATATACATTCCTGCATAATATAACAATTTTTAATACTGTACAGCTCTTTGACTTTTCATTTGGATTTAATGTCATTTGTGATATTCTTATTGTTTTTCCTTTTTATATATTTACATTCCTTGTTCACATTTTTGACTTATCATACTTTTTACAACAGTTTTATAATATTTCTACTAAGCAAATTCCCTGTATGTAAGAACCTACTTGGCATTAACCAAATTCAGAGTCTGATTATTTAACAAACCCCTACATTGGTGTTTTCGATTGATTGTGCACATTTTTAGCGTGTGTTTCTGTGTGTATCATCACCATGATGGTCTGGCACAAGTGTTTGATCTTCTCAGTTTTGAGCAATCTGCGAGTGAGGAAGCCGCGAATGATTGCGCCAATTCGACAGAACGCTCTCTGCTGCTCTGCTGACAGAACCTGGAGAACAAGACAAGGAGGCAAGAAGATAGAAAAGTGAGGAAAGGGTAAAAATAACCAAGTGCAAGCCACACACCCTCTTATTTACTTGGGCTTACCCACCAGACTTAGCCTTGCTCGAGGTTTGCTACCTGCCCATGTAGACCCCCACAGATAGACAGGAGACTGGAGAGAGGGAGAGGATAAACTGGAACCTACGGGGCTGGAAAAACCTGATAAAGAAATATATTAGTAGAAAGAAACATGTACTTTACACACAATTTATCTTGATTAGATGGGAAATTAAGAGTTGTCCTGTTCAGTAAAAAACTGTAATACTCAATTGAGCCTAAATGTAGCTCAAAAAGGGGGAAGATGAAAAAGAACATCAGGGACACTTTCTCCAAATGTAATGAACTACAAAAACCCTCCTCTCTAAGTATGCAATCTGTTGATCTCACTGTATTACAAACTCCAACACAGTATAAGTAAACAGTGGGGAGTGGTACCTATACTGTGTCCAGGTGATCGCTCAGATGGTGTGTGGGCAGGGCTTAGTCCGGGACATGAGGGGCTCTCAATAGGACGGCTGTCACTCACAGATCTACAGTTCCACCCACAAGCCTCCCCACTCAAAGGCCGCACACAGCCCTGCTCCATTAGTCTTTTCTCTGTCTCCTCAAGTTCCTAAACACATGTGGATAAAATACACAAACACACACGCTTCAGTAATGTAAACAAATAAACTCACACCTTTGTATTGCAACTAAACCATATAACAATTCAAGCCCATATGTTATCACTGATAAAATACTGCACATTTTGTGTACTGTATCTACTTCAGTTTAGACTTGATGTTGTGTGATTCCATGTGCTGACCAGACAGAGGCGCTGTTGCTCTTTCTCCTGCTCAGCCAGGAGGAGAGACATCTGCAAGGCATGCTCCTCCTCCAGACGCCTCTGCATGTCCTCCAGAGCCTGTGCTCGCCTCTGGGTCTCCTCTGTTGATGTGCACAAATAAATATACGTAAAAAATGTCATCTTTTACATTTCAAACCATTATCATTTACCTTTATTTGCACTGGTAAAAATAGTGTAAATATCTGGAACTGATCAAGGGAGACTCACCTGTCTTGCTGGTCTGTGCCTCAGCTGCATTTCTGAGGACGGTTGGTGTGATTCTCCCATTGTTTGTGTCCTGAGGGTCAGCAGCCTCCATCCTGTGTGTGCCATGAGCCAAGTCAGAAGGGATGCAGGGCCTTGGCAAACAAAGTGAGGGATTATCTACCTCAAACGACCGGTTTAAAGGGGCTGTAGGGGTGCGCCCACTCGCAGCCCTCCATGTGACTCCAGCCATGAAGCGAGGAACCCTCTCCTGGCTGTGGCCTATGTGCTCCACAACAGAGTGTTTGCTATGCAGCTGGCTGTCAAAGGTGTGGCAGCGCCGGCGAAATCCTGCTGCAAGATGGTCACGGTGCCCATTCGGGCTTAACCCTAAGGCACTAACGGGACTACAGATATCTGGGCTGGTACCACAGTGGCTGGGTCGACTATTGCCACTGCTTACACCAGCACTGCTGTCACTCCCCACTGAGCCCCAGTGATCGGGGGACTTTATAGCCTCTGAGAGAGTTTCTCCCCAATCTGCCATGCCAGCACCTTCCCCCGACCTCCTCGAGCTGCAGGGGACAAGGTCTGCCGGGCTGATTGGAAATGAAATGTGTATGTTCCCTGTAGAAACTGGACGTGGCCGGCGTCTCTGTGCACGGGGACTAATGCTGGACTCTGGACTGTGGAGCCGAGCATACCGGTCATTTAGACTAGGTGAGAGACAACCAGTCTGTTGGGGACTGGCGTCGTACAGATATTGATGCTGGATTTGGGTCCGAGGCGGGCCAGTAGGGCTGTGGTGCAGACTGAATCCAAACTCAACACCTGTGTTCCCCATGGGACTGCAGCTCTTATTCTCCTTGTCAGAGACAGTCTCCAGCAGAGGGGTCCCAGTGACTGTGGCGACAACTTCTGAACCCTGCTGACACTGCTCTCTCTTCACATACTCCCTTGATCTCTTAAGAAGACTGTCCAAACTAATGTCCTCCTCCTCTTCTTCATCTTCATCCTCACTGTTCTCTTCCCTCTCAACCATCACTTTCTCCACTGACTTGTAGCCATTGACGATGGGGGTCTCAGAGCTTGGTTGATCCCTTGTTTGAAGCCCAAACCCAGGGTCTCTGGGAAGTCCAAGAGAGTCAGTGATCAGGGTGTAGCCACTCTCCTTCGCAGATTTAGAAACTGGCGGCTTTTCATCATCTATACTCGATTCTCCATGTGCCTGTGCAGAGATAAACATTAATGATGACAAATCATCAAATAGTTGTGGAAATTAAAAGCGACAAAAAATAATGACTGATGGAGTTATTTGCCCAAAACTTAACATTGGTGTAAAGCAGTTGATTTATCAATACATATCCTATAAACAATTAAAAGTAAAACAAGATATCCGATCCAGTGTTACACTAAATGTACGGTGGCTAAACTGAAATAGTCACTTGTCATGTATGTTAGCAAAATAGAATTTAATTTACCTAATTACTAAACTAAACTAAGTTAATATTGGTTTCAAGTAGGAATGACCCAACATTTCAAAACAGGAGCTGATAGAAAACATTGCTTTGGATGTTGAGTTCACAAAAATGGGCCATAATAATAAGGTAAAAATAGCACAGCCTACCAGAGACAGTGCTAAGTCAGACAACCTGTATTCAAGTCTGCCCATGTCACAAGAGATTCTGGGACAGACTGTAGTTAAACATTAGTGATAATTGAGGGATTGACACATAGACCTATTCCACACATACTTTAGATTTGTAGATATGAGTGTTTATAAATTAAACACAGTGCCAAAATCTATGCTATATGAGTTTTATAACAATGTGGATGTGTGCTAATGTGGTAGATATTTGGATTTTGCTATTTTATTTCACCTATCCAGTACACACTGAAAATTTGTATTTATTTCACAAAACATATGACCATTCCATGTTACTGACCCGAGGTTGTTCCAGTATGTCCTGAACTCGGGCCATGAGGTTCTTCCTCAGCTTGTTCTGCCTGTCAACCTCCAGCTGGACCGCTCTCTGTCTGTGGTCACACATCTCACTGCGCTGCTCTGCACTCAACTAGAAAAACAAAATACACACACAACAACATTTTAAGAAACCCAAGCATTAACACAGTTTAGTAAGGAACTGATCATTAAAAAAGGCTCCCAGTACACAATGAATTCCATGATGTTTGTTTGTGACCTACTTTCTGTTATTCTTGATAACACAATCAATCCTCTACTATAAATGTTTGTTTCTCCTTTCCTTTAGTGAAAGCAAAATCCTCAACTAAACATCCCTTAACTGGCCTCTCTATCAGGTGGCTATTGCTGACAAATAGTGTTGTCAGCAGTAACAAGCAGATGTATTCTCCTGACCAACATCAAACCGCCTTGGTGTTCCTCGTCATTCGCTATCTCCTCTCTTTTGCCCCTGCTAAGTGCTGATATAATCGGAACTAGTAAGCCCACATACTTCACATATACTGTACTATGTAAGTCTCAAAAAGACATCTGTTTGGACCTTAATCAGCTTTAATCTAATTTAAACCATGTGATTAAAGTTCTCTGGGCACATTTGTTTTTTTTATGCCAGAAATGTGCATTGCAAATGCACTAAAAACCTCAATAAGCTATGGTTTCTGTTAACTTTTCATCCTGAAACTAAATAAACGGTGATTTAGCTACATCTTGTTTTGGCTCAGGATACATTCTCATGACTGTTCATCACTTCCCTACCAGAGGCGAAAGCACAGCTCTTCCATGGAAGCGGATGAGAGAGAAAGCCTTCGGGGACCATAGTGGCTCACATGTCGTCTTCTTGAATTTCCCCTCTTCCTGCAGTATGGCCAAACTCCGCAGACAGAATTCTTCATAGCTTTCCATCTCTGGAAATCCACACATACACACTCTGAATGTGAAACACACACCATGTAGCCTCGTCACCCAGCTGTAAAATGAGATGGAGAGTGTGTTAGATGGACATTCACAACTCAGTGAATGAATGTGGGAGCAGCACTGGGTGTGGGTCACTAGATTAAATCATATGTGGAGAGCAGTACAAACAAACAGGCTTAAACAAAAGAGGGTCTGTCTGACATCAATGGTTTTATCACACTCATCACATTCCTGCCATTCCTTTCTATCAGACCTTGCTGGTGAGTGACTTCCATTCCCGTGTCTCATGCAAATGCATGTGGAATCGTGTCTAATCAGTACAGCTTCTATTTCTGAAATGCCTGTCAGCAAAGGGATAGTGAGGACCATTTCACACACAAATCACAGCTGTTGTGATGAAATTACAACTACATTTAAATGGGAACTGCTTTGCAATTAGTGTTGTTTACTCCAGATGTATGTCTATTAAACTGACCATCCCTCCATTAGACTTTCATCCAATCCTTACGATTCTGACAGTAACCATAGTGGATATTGCGGTTAGTGATTTATTAACACATAGTGACAGCGCAGTTGAGATCGTGGGAATGGGTTTCTTTTTGTACCCAGCGGAAGCTTGATACCGGCAGTTTCGAAGGTTAAATCAATAAAAATACTCGGTTAATCGGCACCTTTCTGAAGCCCTGCATAGCCTACCTTGTAGTCCAGATGTGCCCTGACAGAATGACGTTAACGTTACACCCGTGCCTTTGCTCGTTACCGCTGTCTTACCTTAAAATGGACAAACAGATATCTCCTCTCTTTGTTAGAAGTGGACACGCTCTTTTGTCGCAGGGGAATCAACAAAGAGTGGATACATCATGAACATGTTTCTCCTTGAATCTCGGGTTGCCCATCATCATCATGTTCTACTCTTCCGGGCTCCAACGGCGCCTCCTAGCAACAGAGCGTCGGCCACGTTCCAATACTAACTGCTATTATTAACCATTTCATGGCAGAGGTGGAATAATTACTCAGGTCTTGTTCTTGAGTAATAGTAGAAATACCACAGTCCAGGAATACTTTGGTACAAGTAAAAGTCCTGCATTCAAAATTGTACTCAAGTAAACAAATATTAGCATCAAAATATATTTAAAGTATCAAAAGTACTCATTATGCAGATTGGCCCATTTCAGAGTATATCACATGTTACAATTATTGATGAATTCATGTGTTTATCAAAGCTGGTAAAGGTGCAGCTAGTTTTAGTTACTTTGTGTACTGCAGGATAGCTTGTGGATTTACTCCAGATGTAACTAAAGTCTTATTTAAGTGTTGATTATATCTGTGCCCTACTTAATAAAAAATAAAAAATGGTCATTCTGAAGCCATTTTTATTCTTTATCTTGCTGAAAGATCACGCAATGCCAGGTAAAAAATACAGCCCAGGACAACATTTTTAAATGATCTCTTTATTAAACTGACACTGAAAAACAAGTACAATGGCAACAAGCCATCACACATTCAGAAGAAGCAAAAATGTCTTTGCTGTTTTCACAACTCATCGCTTGAGTGCATGGGTGAACCTGAATGTACAGGTTGAGCAATGCGCACATGTTCCTTGCTGTCCAAGAGTAGAGCTTCGATGTCACTTTCGAAAGAGGTGGTTTTGGAACTCTGTCACAAAAGTTAAACAATGTTAGTTCTAATAAGAGCAATTCAGTCTAATTTAATGGGGATTATTGTTTCACAACCAAACAGCCTTACCTCAAAAGACTGCCGCTTTACCCCTATGCATGCCTTGGACTGCTCATAACACAGGACTATATCCAGACGTGTTGGTTCTTTATTCATCAAAGCTACATGGAACTGGTCGTAATGAGATTCTGGAAAGAGATTTTAAAAAATGATTAAGTACAGGGTAAAGAATATGCAAATACATTGTTTTCTTTCCTGGTCTTACCTAACAAGTGCTTGCAGGAGGAAATCATTTTTTCCTGAGAGACGAGGTCATGTTTCAAGGTCTGTAGTTTCTCACATACACCTCCATTGAGGAGGTTCTCAACTACTGTCTGTCTGCTCTCAGAGGGGGCTCCTTTTATGGCATCATCAATCTCTGTAAGGCAATATGCATACGCTTTTATTATCTCTTAAAGACAGCAGTCAAAACATAGTAGACAATTCAGGGTTTTTCCATTTTAAACGACAATGTTTCTCTCCAAGACAAACTGAATAGCTATCCGCTTACCTTGTGCTGTTGTGAGGCAACTCTCACAATAGGCGTCTGTTGGAAAGAAAACAGTCAACATAAACTAAGACTAGACTACACATATAATGACTGATGAAAACAACAGATAAAGCGTGATGTACTCACAGCGGTCCAAGTCTTTAGGCTTCACAGGAAGAAGGTTGCAAATAAACATTAGAAAAATGAAGATCCTCATTGTTAGCCAGTGAACAAACACGCACAACAGCTAGGAAAGAAATGTCAACTGCATTGAGGCTAAATCATCTTTCCTTTCACATAATGGAGTCATGTGATCTCAAGGACAATAGGCTCACATCTCCTTCATTCCACAGATGACAGGTGTCCAGTTTTTCAGGTTTTCTGTAATTGCTAACAGATTGAGTTGTTCTACAGTCTTTGAAAAGGGGGCTTTAAGTACTGTGAACTCATACATTTGACTACTGTGGCCCACTTTAGGATTCACATTACAAGAGAAATTAAAGTTACATTTTGTCTAGATTTGTAGAATGGGTGTAAAGAATGAGCATACTTAACAAATATGTTTTAAATGAGCTGAAATACTAAAGAGATTAAAGTGCAAAATCAGAAAGTAGGGATTTAGTTGAGTAACTGACAAATAAAGATTGTAAATGTATTGCTAAGACTTTGTTTTTGCCCCAAGATATTCTTCACTGCTATACAGAGATAAGAAACAACAGTGATTATATTGAGTTTTTACTTGGTTAATCATGCTCCTCTTTTTATTTTTGTTTAACCATACACACCACAACTCTGAATCAATATTAGTCTATTTATATAGTAAATTCGTTTGCTTGGTTTCAGAGGAGAGATGTAAGGAAACCATTTCATATATTGTTTTCTTGTAATCATTTGTATTTAGTTTTTATTATGTATATTTGTATTGATATTGATAATGATATTTCGCCGTTCTAATAATAGTAGTAGCTTCAGTAGTAGTTGTTGTTTTGGTGAGTGGCCACTAGGTGATGCTGTTTTATAACGAACGCCAGTTTCAGTGCGTTTTGACCAGGTTTTGACAGATCCCAAATATGGTCACGTTTACCATATAAGGAGTGACGCACGTGACGCTCGTGTGGTCTCAACGGAAAATATGACTGTGTGCGGGAAAGGCGAACGTTAGAATAATGACTTATTTTCAGGGGAGTTCATTATAAACTTCTAGAGAAACTTCAACCTTAACTAACTTCAGGAATAATACATTCTACAGTCCGAAGCGTCAGCTTCAACCTGTGAGTAGTTTTAACTTCTGTATTGATAATAGTTATGTAAATTAATTTCACATGTGCTGTCCTGAACTTTCAAGAGAGGCTAGCCACACATCCAATCTGAAATATCCTGATAGCATCCTAACGTGTTGTCTCTGAATGCAGCACTTTGGGGGACATGCTCTGTATTTTCGTGGAAAGTTTGAATGTGAATAGGTTTCACAGGAAGCCCACAAGGAAGCCAAGAGACTGACTCGCCTTTGCATTTTCCTGACCAGTGCAGGAGCAGGGAAGTGAGTTAGGCTAAACTGATAACTGATTCTGAACAGTTTCTTTGGACAAACCTTCAAACAAGAATTATGGTAAGGAGTATTCAATTGTCTGGCAACAAATCTCATTTTAACTTACATCTTACTTGCCTGGGGGTGGCTATTTATTCGAACTTGACATGAGCAAAGTAAGAGCACCAATACGGAGCAAAGGGCTTCACTTATACACTTACCGCCATACTTTGCTGTTTGTTGAACAGCAACCTGGTCTTAAAATAAGTAGGTTTTGTTAGTCAGTAATAATCATTTGCAAGATGTTTACCCTGGTCCGAGGCTGTTCCAGACACACAGAGGATTTTAATCATGACTTCAAAAAAAGAATACAACAAATACTGTGAGTTGTGGGAAGTGACTAACTAGTATTTTGAGGTAGTCTGCTTTGATTTGCATTTCCTTTTGTATTTCATACTTTCATTGGAGTCCATTGCATTCATAGTAACAGTTGTGGCTACTATTTAGATGCAAGTTATATAAAATACAGACAGTATTTTGTGGTTTAGGTTCCCAGCCTTTTTGTCTTGGCAACCCTTTCAAGAAAGCAGTGTAGTTGTGGCCTCTGTCATTTTTCAGATGACTTTGAACTGTGAGCAGTACAAACAATGGGACACTTTCCTGCAAAACTTTCCCCATGGTTTCATGTAAATGACTGATGAGGCACCGAAGATAAACTATTTCAGTATTTCACAGAGAAAAGTCTATAGGTTTTGGTATCAGGACACTTTTATTGTTATTTCCTCTCCCATTAATCATCTGACAAGAATGATCTTATGACCTCTGTCTTTTTCACAGAAGACATTTGGTTGTGTCACACTAGGAAAAGCACATTTGTTAATAACATTAAGGAGGTTTCCGAGTCCTTGTGGTGTGTGCACGCTTGCTCAATATCATAGGACACATAACTTGTCGATGAATCCATATTAACAATGTTCTAATAATGATATGCAAGTCAAGGGCAGTTTGCTGTTATATTGTGTATTTGTAGTTGTAGGACTTAAATGCTGTAGTATTACTTGAAGTAAGAGTATTTTACTTCTTTGTTGTTGTATTGTTGGAGTTTATGATCTGAGTACTTTTTCAACCATGGCTGGTTGATCTGAAAAGCACTTGCACGAGGCATATTAAATGAGAAGGTTTTGATAGAGGTCTTATCTAAGCTGAATCAGGATCTGAACAATCTTGTTGTTTAATCTTTGGCAGAAGGATAGCCCGCCTTCTGCAAGGTCTCAGATTGCATCCAAAGTCCATCCAAAGTCCATCTAAAGGTGCTGTAGAAACTGCTGTCCAGCAGATGGCGCCTTGTCCAACCTCCTCTCATCAGTTATTGTAGTCAAATGTATTTGATTTGACTTCAAATTGTGTTCTCAATGATTTCTGTATATATCTTTGTGGAAAATGTCCTGCTTCAACTGCAGAGAGGTCAGTAAAAGTCCTGCATTTGAAAACTTTAAAGTACACAACTATTTCAAGCTGAATTGCACTTAATGAAAAAGTAAGGGTTATGATTTATTTGTGTTACTTTACACATGATGTGATTATAGTTTGTACACATAAGTTATTGTTGCATGCAGCAGGATAAAAGAATATGATGTCAGGAGCCTTGCTGTTAGTTTATTCTAGAACAGTTACAACTTTATCATTCTCGTTCTTTTAGAAAGAATAATTTTCCCTTTTAGAAATATTAAAGTAACTTCTTCCTCTTCTACTTATTTTTCTTATTATTATTATTACTAGTAGTAGTACTAGTACTAGAATACTAATAGCACTACACTCCTTGCAGAGAAGGTATAATCACATACAACTAAACACGTGTGTGTGTGTGTGTGTGTGTGTGTGTGTGTGTGTGTGTGTGTGTGTGTGTGTGTGTGTGTGTGTGTGTGTGTGTGTGTGTTCAACATTTGTTGAAGCTTGTTTTTGGACTCAGTTTTCCCTCTCTTTTGATGGAAAATACATTTTCAGCATGGGGTGTGTTCTGCTTTATATCGGCAGTGTTTTCTTTTATTGAAATAATTTCATAATGACTTAACTTATAGAAGGAACATTGTCATTTCTTCTTTCTTTCAGATGTAATTCATTGGTCAAGTCAATGTTGCAATAACATTAATGCCCCCTTTTCCTCTTACTTCAGTCCAAGGTTAGTTGTTGCCAGTGTGTTTCAGTGCTCAATAATACACCAGACACGGTCTTAGCTAGGCTTTGCTCTCATTTTGTTCTGATCAGTTGTATTATTGTTTAGGAAAATAGGAGGACATTGAAACTTGTACATGGCCACATTGCATGACAGATTCAAACTCAAAGTAGGAATTGTTTACAGACTTTTCAGAGGGGTTTTTTAGGGGTAGGAGATTTGACCTCATGACCTCAGGATTTAAAAATCGCAGACTCTATTCCTGCAATTAAATGGGGCAGAAATTCGGCCACATTTAATTGCTATATTCTGTGGCAGAATATAGCAATTCCCATCTTTAACCTATCATTTGTTTACATGATGATTGAGAGCAATATCCAACACTAGAATGGTATTAATAACAACAATAATTAAGGTATTATGAGCATTTAAAAACATTTTCAAATGTTGTGTCAACCAAGTATGTAGGCTACATATACCAGATAATAACTATGATAACATAACTGGATACATTATTAGTAGTACGTTTATGATGTCAGAAATGTGTTGAGTTAAAGGTTGTGTTGGTGGCAGTTGGAAACAGGGGCTTTGTGTATAGGTTGAAATGTCCTCCATGGACTCAATGTCAGAGACAATACTGTGCTATGGCTCTCAGTGCAGGGAGCTCCAGCTGCTGTCCGGTGCATGCCGTTGAACCAGGGCTGCTGTCCTCCAATAGATTTAAAGTGTGCGCCTGTCCGACAATAGAGGGCCGGGAGTGGGAGGATCAGCTCGGCAGCGGTCCTTCTGGCTTTGTTACGCCAGGGAAGCCATTTTGGAAATCTGCTTGTTGTGCACTAGCATAACACTCTCAAGCTACTAGCAAACTTTTGCGTTTTTTTACCACAAAAATAACGTTAAGGATCTGTGTGCCGCAGTCATTTAGCCTTAACCTTTGGGTGAGCGTGTCGGGATGCGGGCAGAAGTTTGCGCATCCTCCGCGATAGTACTGCGTGGATCATTTCCCTTTGGATTACGCTTTTAAATAAAAAGATACATGGACTCTAACCAGGCGGGCAAGTTGACATGCTACTATTAAAACATCCTAACGTTTCAAAAATTGATGTTGTGAATGTGTCATTTCGTTTTATGCAGATTTATTCTGTTTTTGCTGAGCTCCTTTACCCAACTAACGCAATCTCAGGCCTTATTTTCATGGCTAATTTTATAAATCTGCGACATTACCTGACATTATATGTTTTATCCTTCTTTAATAATGCGTGGTTTTACGGAGAAATGGTAGAATATCCTGTATGATAATATATGAGTAACCAAGTGCTTTCGAGAGTGACGGTGTTGTCTAAATACACTGCTTCTAATTTTAGCACTGGGCAATGTAAGAATGTAACGGCTTATATGTCATTTTGCTGGACCCTATGTCCAGTTATTAATACACTGAATGTCTTTAAACGACACCGGTCTGGAGCACTGTTTTGACAGAAGCTGCACTAGTCACAATACTGTATTTCTTCCTCTTTGTCGCAGGTGTTTTGCGTAAAGGAGCCAGCAAAACAAACGTGTGATGATACATTCAGTGTGTGGAAAAGTGTCACTGTGTAGCATGTTTAGACTGGAGTGTGTTTGTGGGATAAACGCATGCTGCTTGTTGAACCTGTCTCCTGAATTATGAGCTCAAGGATTAAATTATCTAATCGTTCTAATAGGAATCACTCATATGCTGAAAAAAAACAAAAGACCCTCTTTATTAAGAACTCCAGCCTTACACCATACTCTCCTCTACTCTCAGTTCTGTATATATAACACAGTTAGTACATGTACGTGGTTTTTAGTTGGCCCACATTCAGTGGTGGCATCATGATTCATTCCCCCAGTGCAGTCACTATAAACTAATCCTGGCGGAATTAAAGTGGCTTTTCGGATATTTCTGTTACCGTGTATCCGTCTTTTTGGCTTGGTGACTTGGAAGTGGATTTGACCCATTGTTAAGATTATGTGTCGAGATTTTGGTTTCGGATTTTTGGAAAAAGCCATCTGTTTTATTTGCTTCTCCGTTTTTGCATCACCAGAAGTTTAAGTAAGAGTTAAACTTGCACAGTTGTTGTATTTATTTGATGTAATGTAGAGATATATTAGGGTCAACTCGGCAAGTCTAAACAAAGTGTTCCCCTTTCTGAAAGCCTCAACTGTGCGGCAATATTCTGTCCAACTCTAACCCCTAGTTACAAGTTTATTAGGTACAAAACTAATGAAGTCCAACACAAGAGTTCATTATGAGTAATATCGTATTCTGTTTTAGTTTAAATTATTTTAGAGAGCTGTTTATTAAACTCATAGTTTTTTTTTGATTGCATTAAACTGCTGCCTATCTTGGCCAGGACTCTTTTGCAAAACAGATTTTTTTTATCTCATTGAGACTTTCCTGTCTAAAGGTAAAGAAAAAAAAGAAAATACAGAGGTGTTTCTCACATTTAGCCCAGTGGTCACCAAACATTTTGGAATAAAACACGTTTATTTAGGAATAAATTGAGGCCAATTTCTGTCTGAGATCAGTATCTGCATTTTCTCTCAAGATATCTTTCCACACTGAGCTTCTTCTCACTTGGGTTTTGTCTAAATAAGTTAACTCAAAGACAAGTTGACCCACATTTGTGTATCAGAAGAACTTTGAAGTTCCAGCCTAAAAAATGTACTCAAATCAGCCCCTCATTATAACAGTAACAACACAATCTATATAACTCATAATGTTAAGCGAAGCAGGATTAATTACAGGATTGGTTGTTTCAGACTCGATTAGTCTCTGCTGTACCTAATGAACTAGCAGCTGAGTGTATTATAGTACAAGTTTCCCTATTGGAAGCTCAACCCTCAGAGCAGTCGTTTCCCGCCCATTGCCTAAAACTCTGCCCCACCCCTTGCTGTTTCACTTGGTTTCATAATACTGCTCTCTCTGTGCGCGGAGCTTACAAGCAGTCACTAGGAGTAGCTGTCCTGGTGAGGAGTCTTTTGATTACAACAGGAGTGAGGAGGGTCATTCTCTGTGTCCTGTCACCACCAGCCATTTCCGTCAGTTGCCGACCGGAGGAGAAGAGACAAGTCATTCATTACAGCTCCGTCAACAAGAAGCCACAGCCAACATGCAGGAAGAGGTCGGCCAACTCTAGTCCACTTTCAATACCACAGTTGTGTTGTTGTGTTCCTGAGGAAGAGGAATGTCCAGCAGCTCTCATTAGGGCCGGCTGTGCTTTCTGACGGTTGTAGAGTGTAGCAGTAACCGCTTGTTGTCTTTTCTTTGAAGGCCGCCCAGTGAATAGCGCTAGAATAGATTTGGGAAGAGGTGGGGAATTTACCAGTGCTGTGTTGTTTTCAGTGGGAAGACGCAGTTTCTAATCTTTTTAAAAAATACATTTACAGTGGGAGAACTTGAGCTCATTAACACAACTAACTTTACAAGAGACAGGTTTAACAAGGCAATGCGTTTCGTGAGTGTGTGTATGGTGGTTACTTTGGGCTTGTTATCCTCCTCCAATATGTCAGCTTTGGCTTAAAGAGTCCTGTTCCTTGCATCCTGATTCTTGCAGTTTAAACAAAGAAGAATGAACATGGATTTTTCTCAACTGCACACATATACACCGCCACAGTGTGCTCCAGAGAACACCGGCTATACCTACTCTCTCAGGTGAGACCTCAGCGCTGTGCTGCAATACACAGTCAGCCCTTTGGTATTTCAGTTACACCCTGCCTGTCATTTGTCAATCTGTACAGAGAATAATGAATCTTATTTGTCCTTGAAACCCTACTGTTGAATTTTAAATCAAGCTATTGAAAGCCATTGAACGTGTAGTGTGTTCCATTCCATTTTCTCTGGTCTCGATTCGAATATACTATTAAGCGCTGTCAGCCTTAATGCTACTATAATTACAGTTGTCAGTGTACTCATGTCATATGTCAAACTAACACACTGAAAGCTCTATGCTGCCAACATATTCCAGAGGTGGTTTTACATTCTCTGCTGGTGCTAGTTTTTAGACGAAAAACCTGTTATAAATAGTTTTTTAGGATCCTATCAAGCCATGCTTTCCAGTTTGTTCCAAAACAGGGAACAACCATGTCTTTTTTCTTGATTACTGAGCTTCAGTTTTTTCCTTTTTTTTCTTAAAACAAAAAATTCCTCTGGTTTTGATGACTCAGCCCCGTGATTCAGTTGCCCTGAGTGTTTATTATGCTGCTCACACAGAGCATGCACCCTATTTACCTCAACAGACTTTACTACACCTCTAACAAACTCTCGTCTCCAATGATGCTCCTCATCCATGCGTTGTTTCTAGAGCTATTCATCACACCTCATAACGAAGGTGTAGTCGACACACGACTAGAAAAGTCTGTGCATGTGGAGGAATGTCTTTCACATGTTCTCTCAGAGCAGAGAGGGTGTGTGGGTCAGGGAATTAAATATCACCTTCCCTCATGCTTAACTACCTTTCTGACTTTAAAAATGAGTTATTGGATGACTTTTAGGAATAGACTTAGGAGTGTCTTGTAAACAAGGCGAGTTTGAACAGAGAACCCTCTTCTCCTTGAAGTTGTGTTTTGAAGACCCAGAGCAGTTCAGGTTGCTGTCTCTTTAAGCTGTAATTATATTAATGATTGTATTATCTATATTCAAATTGTAAGCAGCTCTGGTATGTTTGAATAGGTTTATGCACACTGGCAATTTTCCTGTTGGGTGTTTTCATGTTGAAATGTGAAATAGCTTGTCTGCTGAGGTACCATGGCACAAGGGGCAAAACAAATTACACCCAAACCATTAACTACCTCAGAATGTCGGGGCTTCTTCATGTACACACGGTGCATTCCAGCAATGTAATAAAAATAAACAAACCTTTTGAGTGGACTGAGCCAAAGCAAGATGAATGTACAAAAGCTAGCTTGACAAACCCGCTGGAATCCACCAGGTAGACTAAAAGGCTGGAACAAGCTTATCGTGTTCCTTTGAATGCAGTCAGCTGAGAAGCTATTAATGAACCTCGGCCACAACCCGTGGCCTTGATCCCAGGATTACACTAATAGTTTATGCTTCTTGACTAGATGAGAGATCTGTGGATGTAATAAGCCTGTGTGTACTGCTGCTGAGCCGAATGATGGATTCTCTGCACTTGATGAAATGTGAATCAGCTAACTTAATATATGGTGATGTCTTTGTCTCAGTCTCGAAGTACATAGCAGAATATCTTGACATTAAATGTTTTTGCTTGCTTGTTTAAAGTTCAGAGATATGAATCAATCAGAGGGTCTGACAGCTGATTGTGTTCAGAGAATAGAGCATATCTGTATCTGCCAGTGAATACAAGAGAGCAGTGACGAGACGGACAGAGTCAGGTGATAGAAACCGTTGGCCCATCTGTTGTCAAAACTCAAAAGGGCTGCGACAAGTGTTGTGCCATTGAATGGTCCAGGAGAAAGAGTGAAAGGAGGCCGGGCCAACAGGGTTTCCCCAAACACACCAGGGAGAGACCATTACAACTTGGACCAGCAACATTTTTGTGATTGAATAATATCATGCATACAAGAAGGAAAACACTTTTAGATTTATAATCCAACAGACATTTTATAAGTGAATTGGGATATTCATGTGCTCGCTTAAATTCCTTAAAATTGTTTTCAGTATTCTGTTAACTGGACTGATTTAGTGATTTCAGCCATAGAGACTACTGGTATGATGTTGTTGTTTTCATATCTGAGTCATATTGAAGTTCAATGCGGTGCATTAAGGGATTCAAAGGAAACGGGCAATGTCTTGAATCTTCAATCCCCGTCTTTTCAAAATGCCGATAAAATAAGCATGCCTTTAGTATTTTAAGCAAACTCAAAAATTGCACGTTTTAATAATTTTATTATAGGTAATTTATCTGACGTAATCCATCCTATCGGAAAATAGTATTGTAAAGCTTTTTGATTGGCAAATAAAATATGTAATATGTAGAAAATAAAACAAATAATGAAAGAGGATGGAGAGATGTTCTAGAATAGACACTATAAATTGAATGTATGAGTGACTTTATTATTTCTGATATGTTACACCGTTATTTGCCAAAGGTGGTCTACAAATTGGAGAAGCATGGCATCAATAAAGGGCCTTAATATTTAATAATGTTGAAAGTGGGTCAGTGGGGCTGGGGTCTCTGGCTGTAGTATTTCCCCCCGACACACGATAGCTGAACTGTGACAGTAGTACGCAGCAGGAGTGACTGGTTATCTGATGCTGTGAGTGGCTGTCTGGGAACAGCAGCAGATACCAAATGTAAAATATTTTTAAAAATCTATGACGAATGAGACGTAGGCTACGTACCAACTTCCAATTCTCACAAAGATATGTTGAATGCAAACAGAAATACCGCCTGAAAATGCAGATAGATTTTAGAGGAAGTATTTTTTAGGATAAATCTTAGCTGGCATGAGATGCAGTTGGTGCTTTAATATTTCTACGTGCATGTTGTCACACTCTGCCTGTAACAGGCGCTGTGCATGCTGCTCACACAGTTGTTCTGACATCTGGTCTGAGTGTGTATATCAGTTCATGCACGACCGGGCAAGTGTCAAGCAAATGACAGCAGCTGATGTCAGCCTGCCCCGTGGTTGTGTTGGTCAAAACCACAACATCAGACCTTTTGATGGCTCCAAGCCGGCTACAGTCAAGGTCGCAGGCATTATGTTTTAGTGTTGTCCTTCCATACGTGTCCGTCAGTCCTGTTCATGTAAATGCAACACCTGGAATGAACTGTCACTACTCTGATAAACAGATCCCTGGAATTTTTAAATACAAACATGTCTCCTTGCTTGCATAAAACACATGTGGAGGTATTTTCTGTTTCACAATCAACCAGGCCAAGAGATAACGTTGATGTTGCATTGAGTAACTGTTGGAATCTCTTCATGTCCAGTCTCTGCTACGGACCGGTCTTTGATGAGCCAGGGAAATGTTTAAAGTGGTCTCCATCGCAACCACAGCAACATGAGACGCCACACTGTAGTGCAATGGAGGGGGAGAGAGAGGACACACGTGAAGTGTTTTCTGTGGGAGGGAAAGTGAGGGTGGGCTGGAACGATCCTAATCACAGTGCTAAATCCTTCCCACCCAGAGATAGTTGGACAGACATTTGAAGGCACTATGCTTGTTCCCAGACTCCCAGTTCCTGGCCTCTGGTAAATATAGGCGTCAGCACCTCAGGGGGAAAAACCTTCTGTAACGGTTTGATGAAACGGGAAGGAAAAGAGTTTGCTACAGTGCTCTGATTTGGTACTTTCCCCAGTATTCTCAGTGCAGTATAATTTCAGTAAACACAGCATGGCCCCACAGGGAGTTATGGAGGAGATATACATGGATAGTTGGAAATAGTTGACAAAGTACTATACTTAAGCCAAATTACAGCATTCAAAATGGCATGATTTGATGAGAAGATCTGATGTTTGACTCAACGCTGTTCACATTTGCAATAATACACATGTTGTTGCTTAAATATTGTAATCTGTTGCCAAGTAGGACAAGTATCTCTGAGTAGTCTCACCCAGTGCACTCCACACTGTTTTATCCGTAACTTTGAGTTGCAGTTTATCCTACTAAAGACTTTCATTGGCAACAACACGCCCCCTTGTCTTGTAAAAAAAATTGTTTTGCTGTGTTCTTTCGCACGAGGGTTCATGCTTTCCTTACCACACGTAAATTCAGATTAACGACACACATGGTTTCTATATCTCTAAGTTATGCGTGTGTGGTAGCCAGTGTTTTTTTGTTCAGGGTTTATTTGTGCAAGTCTGTTAGCATTTGAGCTCAAAACTGTAGACTTTCATCCAATTGCTGCAGATAATAAGATATTTTTCTTTGCTGGTTATTAGCATATTGGCCATCTTATTTTGTTTTCATTTTGATGGTGTTTTGTTCGTTGAGTCTTGGTTAGACAAAACATGACATCACATTGGATCTTAGGAAACTGTCTTCAGACATCTTACTATATGAACCAAACAGGCCATCAATTAATTTACCTAATACCTAGAAAATAATTTGAATATTAAAAGTTAGTTACAGCTCTAAAAATATCCAAACAACTATCAGCTGATGTAGCTAAAGAAAACCAAATAGAAATGTGTCAAAATGTCATTGATCTTTTCAAATGCAAAGCCCAGCTGGTGTGTAGATTGTGAACTACCAGATACTTTCCCTTCCATGTGAACAACTTGGTGTCTCATTGTGTCCATGCTGTGTTCTCTGAACAGAGCACACTTTTTTGCATACACTATGCAAAGCAAGCAGGCAGGAGGTGGGTGGGTGGGTGGCTGGCAAGTCCCTTTTAGTGGCAGCAAAGCCAACATGGTACTGGAAGAGTAGACTCACCAGAAGGTATGTTACTAAAGTTACTTTCCTTTACCTTGGAGGAATGTGTCTTTTGTTGCTCTGCTTGGATCTGAAAGAACAGATTTTAACATAATGGCTGCTGCTGCGAATCCCAACCTGCCATAGAAAGTCTGTTGTTGTCTCCAGGGTACGAAATTCTGGCAAGCCTGTAAACGGCCGACGCCAAAGTAATGGAGCTTCCACCCCTAGGGCAGACACTTTCTCAATGATGCAAACACTTTCATCTTGTTGCAGTTACACCTGGATACATAGCTGAGATCCAGTTATCCCATCCTGTGTATATGCACCCTGAAATCTTTTTACATTTTTTAAAAGCAAGACATCATATTCTCTTACAAAAAACAAATGGGACTTTATAGCTTTTTGAGAAACAGTTTATTTTCATTATCAATCAGCTTTCCCGGTGTTTAATTTGATTATTGGACGATTTATAAATAAATGAAAAAAACTAAATCCCAATAGAATGTCATTCAAGACCAATTTGTCCGACCAACAGATCCAAACCTAAAGTTATTGACTATTGTGGCCTGATCATTTTTTAAATATAATTTTAACTTTCTTTGACGCCTTTTCATGTCATCACATTTTATTTTTTTTACACTACTGTTATCCATATATTGTCAAATATGATGATATTGTTGTTTCTTGCATTACCCTCTGATGTCCACCAACCTTGATCCCCATCCTGCATGTCCATGTGGCTGTGCATTATAATGTGCGGTTTTCAAATGTTGAATCCTTTCTGATCTAATGCTCTGTATAGTTGTGTTTTGTAAGAAAGCCAGCTGTGCCCACTGAGTGTGGGAAGAGAATCAAAGCTTCACTGTTATGTAAGGAGAGATTCCAGGAAGCTGAATGTCAGGATGGAAGTGTCTTCTTTCTCCATGCTGTATGTCTGTCTCTTCATCTGTGTCTTTTTCACACAGTTCTGAAAGCACAATGTCTATTTTTATCAACCATGTGGGCCGTGGGTGCCGCCTGGGAGAGTGAACGGAACAGAGATCAATTTGGAAACCGATAACCACAGTGAGCAAAACCATTTCACATTGTTTACATCTTCTGATGAGACAGACTGGGGTTTGAACGGGGTGTGATAGCCAGCACATGAGGTTGATCTTTACTTTTGTGCAGTCCGGATTGGTTTATCATACAGAGTTTGTTGTTGTTAAAATGCAGATTTATCTATGTGTCTCTTTTTTTAATGAATGGCCAGGTAGAGCAACATATTGCTGCATTAATGATTGTGCCTAGCTGTAGGCCACACAGACAAACAGACACAAGTCCGTTTTCTTTCCCACACACGCCCTGCCGTGCCCAGCAGAGAGCTAATGTGCCCCAGGCGCTCAGTCGGTAACACTACGACAGATCCTTATCCATTATGTTCTGGACTCGTTTGATAAACTGTGTTGCATGGGTTTGTTAGTAAAACACGGAGACATACCGTAGTGAAGTTGTCTGTTTGCTCAGGATGTAACCTGGTTCAGGATGTAACCGTTAAAACACTTTAATATACTTCTTTATCAGACAAGCAGGGACAAAGATGGGATGGAAAATGGATTGTTCTGTGGTAACTGATTAACCTTGGTCTGTGTTATAAACACCGTGTTAGGTCCATGCTCAGCTAGGGCTGCTCGATTATGGCAAAAATCATAATCTCGATGATTTGGGTAAATAATTGATAAAACAATTATCCATTTACTTCGAAAACATTAATTTATTGGAGAAAACAAATTTGAACAGTATATTTTTAACAGTTGATTACCCTGAACTTTAAGTATAATTCAACTGAAAATCCCAAAAATAATCATTTGAAAAAAAAGAAAAAGTAATAATAATAATAAAATAATAATCGTTTTATTTCGATTACGTTGTTTTCGTAATCGTTGCAAGCCATAATCGTAATTGCGATTACAATACGATTTAATTGAGCAACCCTATGCTCAGCTGTCCTTGCATGGCCTCACGTTCTTGTATTGAAGGCAGTGTGCAACTATCTCTCTCAGGCATCTAAGTAGTACAATAACATGGGCTCTATTGTGGGATACAAATACATGCGTAACAGTTGATATGAAGGTAACTCACTACTCACCGTTGCATTCCTTCTTGGAGAGATTTCATAGGTATGTGAGTGGTAAGAGTTGCATTTGTTGCATATCTGTGGCATTAGATTTTCACGCACTTGAATGAATAAACTTCCCTCTCAAAGATGAATGGAAACGGAAGTGGTGTTGAGCCTTTTTAGTATTTCATAAACAAACAAACATGTGAACAAAGGCTTTGGTCCTAAACAAGCGTCATCGTCATTGGCATACGCTAAACAGTGGATTCTAGCTCTGGTGAGTTTCAGAACAACGGACCGTGGGCATGTGTTCAGAGGTTGGAGCAGGAGGCAGAGCGAGCACGCAAGCACATAATTGGCTCTCAGTTTGTAATCCTCAGCGTGTAAAGCCAGAGGGCGGGGCCAACGCTCAGGTTAGTTTGTTCTGTTAGTAGGACTTGGCCTTCATATACTCTCTGCTGTGCGAGGGCTCCTAGCAGGAAAGGTCCCTACTCAGGTCCAACAGGAAGTTTATTCTGTGTCCTCCAGTGACAGATAGAGGGATTGGCTCCTCCTGTTCATCCTCCCTCTGCTGCCTGACCTAGTTGAGCCACATGCTAAGGGTTGAACACAGTCTGCAGTGTCCAGCTTGGTCAGGTAATTTCAGTTTTGTGTTATTAGAATTCCGAATTAAATACAAAAAAGGTCTACTTTAGTAAAAGCAAATCGATAAGAAAGATAGATTTTGTTTCTGTCTTATAAAATGTACCTTCTTTGCCACTGAAGAGGGAGTGTATAGCCATGCTGTTCTTTCTTTACATTACAATTGCTAAGAGGGATTAAACACATTTTAAAAAGTTTTTGTTCCAGTGAATTTTGCAACACTTCGCGTTTTGCCTGTTAATCACGTCTGAATGTTGGCCTAGATTCTGCCTTCCTACTCTGCCAAGTGGGTGTGGCCCCATGAGTCACAGCTGCACAAGGCATGGCAAAGTTTACAACATTCATGGTGTGTTACCACTTACGGTTGGCTTTTGGTTGCAGTGAATGGAGTAGATTTAGTTTTCATGCCTACATGCATTCTTTGGGATGTTTATCTGATGTATTTTTCCTATTGGACTTCCAGAAACCTTCTGTGCCTTTTCTGTTGTTTTCTCTCTCCCTTGTGAGTGAGTCACTTCCTGTTAGGCCCACTGTCAGCTGCAGGGAACAACAATATTAGAGCTCTCTAAAAGGACTGTCTGTTCCTATCTTTTGTTTGGTTTTGTTTCAAAAGAAAGCTTCTCTGAAGATGGCACACACAAGTGTAGGAGATCTCTTATAAGTATTTGATATAAGGGTGAAGTCACTCGAGGCCTGTTAGTCGTTTGCAGATGAGTTACCGTGCAGAAGACTTCCCTCTCTGTGATTAACTGTCATTTTCTTTGTTCTTTTCCCCTCACTTTCCCGCTCTTTCTGCTCCACTCTTTCCTCCTGTCTCTCTCAGCTCTAGCTACTCAACAGCAGCGTTAGATTTTGAGAAGGAGCACCAGATTGCCGCCGTATACGAGTCGCCCAGGATGTCACGGCGGAGCCTGCGTCTGCAGACTGGTGCCGGACACTATGACAATGAAAGCCTGGCCGAATACTCCCATAACCACAGCGACAGCTACAGCTATACCAGCACCAAGAAAGAGACACGGTAAGACTAGCAATAGATGCTGACACTCCCACTTAACTAATGCAGGGAATACATTAAATGAAGCATTAGCTTGCAGTTCAACTGTAAAAAAAGGACATTTTTTTAAAGTTCTCTTTTTTCATTTTTTTTATTATAATAAGAGTATGTTTTAATATTTATGTTGGCATGAAATTGAGTGATATAACCATTAAACTCCTTCATGGCTGATAATTATTGTCTATCCTAAAACAAAAGCTGTATTAAGACCAACAGCTGGACTGATGTTGTGCAGTAACTTGCAGTAAAATGAGGAACACACTTAACTCTGAATACTGCCACTAAAAACGGTTAAACGGTTGCATCCAGGCAGGATGTAGTGTATAAAGGCTGGCATTTTGACCAACTCGGCTAACTGACGCCCTTGAGTGCGTTTTTTTTGTCTGACCCTACAATACTTTTCATTCTGTTGATCTTAACATGACTGGCATTTTCGTATCCATGCAAGAAAACTCACGCTCTTCATGCTTCCTTTCTCTGCTCTCTAGGACGCTGCGAGGCAAAAAGCAGCAGTCCAGTTCCAGCTCCCGGTCTCTCTCCTTAAGCCAAGCTGCTACACCGAGGAAAACCCTCTCCTTCTCAGCCGCTAATACCCCAATCAACAGCAGCAGCAGCGTCATTCATGAAAGCCACACAGCGTCCGATGGATCTCTACTCGCCTCCATCCTGGATCAGTCCAGCCTGAGACAACGCGCCGTCACCACAACCACCACTTTTGTGGATGGGCACCGGGGTCAGTTCTATATTCTACTATCCACACTTTTGGCATTCGAGTATTTGTTTATTGAATTCCACCTTTCAGGATATTCAAGTTACATTACCTGCCTTCAAATGAGTGAATGACCTTTTTAAGGTTTTAATGATTGAGCTTTCTTGGTCTTCATTGACTGAAGCATCTCAGTTCTGTGTGAATGCGTTTCCCACATTGTGTAGTTGAGTCTTGAGCCTGTATCACAAAGCATGTTTGACTTTATCAGTTTTGATTTTTAAAATGAGTGATCTTGGATATCGGGCCTCAAAACTATTATTTTTAATGAGAAGCAATAGTATCAATAATAGTCTTAACGTAAAAAGGACAAAGACGTTAGCCTACATGGCGAGTGCTACATTTGACCAATACCACTTGCACCATTTTCCTTATTATGATGTATGCTGCAATGAATGGCCTTTTCACCTTGTAGTAAAAGATCTTGATACTTCCTCCATTACTGTATGTTTACTGTTCCCCTGTTTTATAGATAGAGCCATAGCACACTTGCTTGGTAATATCTTTACTACTACATTAAGCATTTTACAGTTCTGCTGTGTTTTAATGATTGTGTCTTAACACGCTGCTTTCTCTCAGGGAGGAAGGACCACAGTTCGTCAAGTGTGAACGGTGACGCCAGCGCATCAAAGTCCCACACCGCAGTCGCCAATGGTTACATCTGCAAAGACTGCTCGTTTCACTCTCAGACGGAGTCCCCTATCACATGTTCGTCTTCATCATTATCATCATCATCTCAGGCCGCAGAAGCTTCCTCGGACGCCCTCTTTTCCTCTTCCTCGGACGCCCTCTTTTCCTCTTCCTCGGACGCCCACTTTTCCTCTTCCTCGTCACCCTTCACAAGCATATACTCCAGAGACAGGACTCGAAGGAACAAGCCAGGTGAGGGAATGTTAAGTCGGACTGAAATGTCACATTTGTCCTTCTACGTGTTGAAAGTATTGGAGCTGGAGTGTGCCAGTGTGTTGTGGTAATGAGAATATAATGGCGGTGGTGTCTCTCTGCAGGTGTCCTGGTGTCTATGTCTCACACGTGTATGCGCTACAGCAAGCGAGCCCTGGCTCCCATAGTGTCCTTAGTCACCCTGCTCTTCAACAATGTGCTCTGGCTCGGTTCAAGGGCAAAGAGCCCGCCACGAAAAGGTACACAACAAGAGAAGTTCTTTACTCTTCAATCACTTCCCATCATACTCTGTTTTTTTCTGTCATTTGATGTGGTATTTGTTCCTAAGCCATAAGTGAGATCCCCGAGACCTTGACGAAAAACTTGACTCATTTCTCTTTTGCAGATAGTTTGAAATCTCCACTTTCTTTCTGAGCAGGCATTTCATCTTCACTCTTAATGTGTCTGGCTGAGTCATCGCCTATTTCTATTTCACATGTGACTTTACCACCTCTCCTTGTATCTGGCTTCTCAAAGCGTCTTTTTGTTTTCCTATTAGGGTTTCTATCTTCAGGGGATTTGATCCTAATATCACACATTTGTATTTGTTTTATGTTGTGTTTCTAGCCATGTATAGACTGTGAGTTTTGACTAACAGAGATTGTATGGGGCGGGTTTGTCACCAGGTGTCCTTGCGTCGTGTTCGGACTCAATGAAACAAGCGGTGTCCTCCAGTTTTTCCCAACTGTGGCTGTTTAAGCAGAACACTCTTCACAGGATGATGGGCCACAGGGCTAATGGCTATGAAGGACAAGGTACCAGCCGTAACGATAAAAGGCAAAGGTCAAGGGTCACAGCTCCTGACCTCCTCTGCTGCTCTTCTGTTAATACTCTTTCTTGTAACCATTTCTCTCCTTTCTCACCTCAGTAAAATGCCTTATATTAGAATGTGTCATTGAATTGATTTTGAAGAGCTTCTTGATAATCTCTGTTTTTTCTCTTGGTCTGTTCAACTTTCACTTTCACATTGTTGCTTTCTATTTCTGAGGGAGGAAGTTTACTAGAAACTAAATTAAACTTGTACATTCCCAAGACTATTGCCTACATTTAGACAGAACTATCACATGAAAAATAGAACATTTAGTTCTTCAGAAGATTAAAGCTTAACAATAAGAACTCCGGACATTGATAACTCTGCAGTTAAGGTTATCATTTGTACAAGGTCAGTTTTATTTCTAGTAAACTGCTGATTTATATATCATACTATATACTCATTGAGATTAAAATGATTCAAGCTGGTTGTTCCACAGCTGCTGGTGAATGTCCTCTCAGGTCCATTTGCTGTCACCATGTATTAGGGCGGAACAATTGGGAAAACATATATTTGAGCAATTTCACTTATTTCGCATTTGCAAGATGATTCACTTTATTGGGAGGATGATACATTTTGGGTTACTGTTCTCATTACAACAAATGAAATATAAATATTTATTTTTGCGAGAATCTGTACCAAACAAAGGTGGGCAGGGACATCTCTGCAGCAACACAATATTTAATTGCAGAATAATATTTTTGATATATATATATATATATGGATAATGCAATAATCCATATTGTGATTTGAATAAAGTACCAATTCATTTTTCAGCCCTACTGCTTGACCTGTTCGCTGTTTTCATGCACCCGTATTTTCACTGTCTTCATGATGACATCGAGATTTTCTGCAGGCCCGTTGATGACGTGCATTAACTCTCTTCTTCTTCTTCTTCTTCTTCTTGCATTGTTAAGCTCATCTCAATTTTCTCACACGACATGGTTTTTGTCATGTAAACAAATGTGTTGTATGTGTGTTGCAGCTCACTCAAGTTACTGTGGAAGCATGAATGTGAAGGACCTGGTGACTGAGGAGGCCTCACATCTTAAACTCAATGGTTCCCTGTGTAAGCAGAAACACACACACACACACACACACACACACACACACACACACACACACACACACACACACACACACACACACACACACACACACACACACACGCGCACACACACGACCTCTTTCTCTCTATACTTGGAACGTTTGTGTGGTAGCTTTGAGTGACTTAGTTAATGATATGCGTGACCTGTGTTAGGACCACCAGGCAGAGGTTGTGTGAACTGCTTTAACAAGTCAGCAGCCTGTTGACCGTTATAACCAGCAGATACTTTCCTTTCAATGAAGTTAGTCCTTCAAACCTGTTTTTTAAGAGTCCAATTTAACATCAAAACGTACCTTCATAAATGATGATACACTTTGGACTAGCAGCTTGCTTGTCTTCAAACTAGTTTGTTTTTATCTTACACAAATAGTATAATAACAGATGTTTAACATAAGTGAATGAAGAGGTCAAGGGGTGGACGTTTCCCTAAATTGAGAAATAATCAAACAAATGTAAAAAAACAAACTTCCATTAAGGAAACACAGCTGAGGAATGATCACGGGCATGTTCTCATACATCTAGCTGTCCATGTTGTCATCACATATAGTATATTGCATATTGTTCATCATGCCTGCACGTGGCCCGCTTGAACGTTCTTTTTATTTCAAACCTAAATCAATACATTTGAATGTCTGTTCCTTCGTCCTAATTACGAATTGTCATAACTTGTTTTTACTTGTAATCCATCTTAATGCCATCCATTCACACATCCTTGTTTTTTGTTGTGTTTTCTGTTTGCCTGCCATCCATCATGTCGGCGTACACAGGCGATGACTGTAAAGGAAGCAGCATTCAGAGACACACACCGTCCTCCTCACACAGTCCTCCAGGCCTCGACGCCTGTGGGGGCGCTGTGGAGCGTCCTAGCTTATGCAGGTTAACCAGCAATTTACTTGCGTTGATAACATCCTGTGTATTTACTGTTAGAAGAATGTGTTTAGTACTCATATGTTT